CAAATACCTAATTACTTTCTAGCGATGCTCCTTGCGAGCAGTTCAATTTTTCCAATAAGGACTGCCTGAGCACTGTAGGTTCTGCTTGTCCCATTGCAGTTTATCCCATGACTGCCTTTATCACCCGAGGGCTTCCAGGTGCTTGGCACCCCCTCCAGAGTGCAGGAGGCTCCGTGAAGCCTTGGTGGAGGTGTCATTAGATTCTGTAGTTCCTGCTGAAACATACATGCTTGGTAGCGTGTGTGAGTAAGGGTAAGCAGAAGGTCCCATCTCACTGACATGCCGCAAGACCCTCGCTGGGAAGTCAGCAGCAGCCTTCCATGGGGCCAGCGGATCCTCCATCCCAAGAGAGAATGAAGCCTTCAGGCCCTCACAGGTGGTGGGCACCTCTCTCCTGAACCTCACACACGGCTGGTCTGGTGTGCATGGCCCTGCCTTGTGTGGAGCCTGGACCCGGACCTTCCCCTCGCCACCTCCCTGGTTCCGAGGCTCCTTCCCTTGAGGGCACAGCTTGAGGCAGCCACAGCAGCAGCTCATGCTTCCCTTTTGCTTTCATGGTTGTGATTCTACGTGAGCCTCTCAGACGTGGTGGGCCGGACAGCCATGGTCCTCTTCTTACTGTGAGGGGGCTTTGTCTTCAGAAATGACTCTCCTAAGGACACAGCTCACAAGGTGCTCGGCAGCAGTGTTGTGTCGCGTTGTGCCAGGCACCTCATTCTCATTCTCCACGCACCGCCTGCCTGACTCCTGACTTCCATACCTTTCCCGAACTCTCGGGTTTGGTAGAGGACCCTGACCCACAGCTGCTTACCGCTGGTCTAGGAGATGGTGTGGCCAGTTGGGGACCGGGTCATGGTGGATGGAGCTGGGTGTCATGGTGGTAAGGGAGCATTGTGGAGGCTTCTGAGGGGTGATGGAAGGTCCTGGGAGGATGTGTTGCAGGAGAACAGCTGGAGTCAGGGAGGCTAAAGCGGGCACTGACAGCCCAGGCGTGCTCAGGCAGCTGCAGGCTGGGGGCATGGGAGGAAGAGAAGGGGGTTTAGAGGACGTGGCTGAAGGGACCCCAGGGTCTATGGCTGTGGAACGATTCCATGAAGAGGAGGTCGAGAAGGGAAGGAGGGTGGGTGCTGGGCTGCACAGCATGTCCGTCCATGGAGTGGTGGTGAGTTGGTTGCTGTGCTGGGCCCCGTGAGGTCCTGGCCTCTGTGAGCTTCACTGCCTTTGGGGTCATGGGAAGTACACTGTGTACCATCGTAAACAGTGGCAACAGCCACTTTGAAGGAATGCAGGCATGTGAGCACACAGGGCTGCACCTGGAACCTGAGCCG